CTCCACTCTTTTATAGCACTTTTCTTGTCATGGGTTACAGCTGTAGCCTTTTAAAGTCCTAATCTTTGATAATTGGCCAAGCTGCAACCCCTTAGGAGTGAGATTACTTTCTACACTATCTTTATTTTCTTATATTCTATCCCCCTACACATGGCTGATGCCAGCCCTGCTATCCCCATCACACCTATCCAAACCTGGCCCTGTCAGAATAGAGTATTTGCAGGCAACCCCCAGTGAGGGGAGAGGAATGATGCATCTGACTCCATCTTATCAGAAGGCTAAATAATTACTTTATTATACTATATTATTCTATATTGTATTATATTGCATCTAAACTGAATCTGCCCAGCACTCAACCCTGCACAGAATCTCACGACTGTCACACAACAGTCCCAACACACACACACACCTGGCTGTGATAGGCCAAGGAAACAAAACACCATCACTCTGGGTAAACAATCTCCATATTGCATTCTACTTTGGCACAAACACAGGCACAGCAAATGAGATAAGAATATTCTTGGGAAGAAGTGTGCCTTGCTTTTCTCTGTGAGGAGAAATGTGGGGCTCCATCAGGGTGCCAGTACCCTGAAGCACTGGGGCACACCTGGTGCTTGCTCTCTTGCCCAAGAAGGAGGTGAAGGTGTCTGGGACCCAGCACAGAGATCTGGGGTTCTGGTAGTGCCAGGGTCCCCACTGGAGCTCACCTCCCCTTATATTGATATTTGATATTTTCTGCTGCTGACCCTTGTCCTGTGCTCACCTCCTTTGCAGATGGTCACCTCCTGTGCGACCCTGACCCCAAGGGCACCTGGGGGAGCTGCTTTGGCTGTAAGTATGGGCACTGCCCTGGCTCACCCACCTGCCAGGGGGTCTGGCTGCTGCCCCCCATCACCCCCAGCCCCACTCACCATCTGTGGCATTCACATTCTCTGAACAGAGAGAGATATGAAGAGAAAACAATTCTTAGCTCTTCTTGCTGCTCCTGCTGTTTTTGCACATGTGGAATGTGTTAGGGAGATTATTAACCTGAAGGGATTTGGTAATTGGATTCTGCTAAGAATTATTTTCTCTTCGTCTCTCTGTGCTTCTCCAGGAAAGGACCTGCGAGAGAGAATTATCTCCCTCTCTGTTCAGAGAATGTGAATGCCACAGCCATCAGGCTGCCCTTCCCCACACTCTGCCTGCAGGAATGGCCCTGGGAATGCTGCCAGGGAGGGAGCAGATCTTCACCATATCCCACAGCTATTTCTAGGATATGGTTCCTCAGCCCTTTTATCCCAAAGATGCTTTAGCTTGTGTGGAAAAAGGGTTCTGGAAGCAGCAATGCCCTGGGTGAGAGGTGGGGCTGTTTTTTGAATGCCTGTGCATCACTTTGCACAGCTTTCCTCTGGTTTGGGGCTCCCTGGTTGCTCTGGGGGCCTTGTGACCTCTTACAAAGCAAGAACTGTCACCAGGTGATGACCTGAGCAGGTCCCCAAGTTCAGTGTGAGAGGGAGCCATGCCTTGAGCCCCTTGCTTAGGGAAGCAGCACGCAGGGCACATTCTCACCACCCTGGGCTGCACAGCTGGGGAGCAGCTCCTTGGAGATCAGCAGAGGCTGATCTCCCCCTGCCCAGCAGCTTTTTGCTCACCTCAGGTGTGTCTGTGTCCTGCTGCTTCCAGGGTGCCAGAGCATCAGCGCCCCGATGCTGCTGGGGAGGGACGCCGCGCCGTGGGGGCCTCTTTGGAGAGCTGCAGGTGAGAGTGGGGCCCTCTTTGGGAGCTGCAGGTGAGAGTGGGGCCCTCTTTGACAGCTGCAGGTGAGACTGGGGCCCTCTTTGAGAGAGCTGCAGGTGAGAGTGGGGCCCTCTTTGACAGCTGCAGGTGAGAGTGGGGCCCTCCCTCCCCCTCTCTGGGGCTGAGGAGCCTTTGGGAAGTCACCATCCCAACCCTGCTGCTGAGCTGCTGCAAACAGAGCTGCCTCTGCACCTCAGCTGTGGTTCCTGGGGTTTCAGGAGTCTCAGAGCCGTTCTCCTGCTGCATCCAGGATGAGGTTTGGAGCCAGGATGAACTGATGGGTTGTATCTTTTCCAGGCATTGCTGCCCGTGGGGAACAGCTGTGACCTCTTCTACCATCCACCCCCGCTGTTCCCATCCAGCCAGCTGTACCTGCTGCGCCCGCTGCTGCCCCTGGACAAGGTGGGAGCTGTGGCATGGAGGGGAATCCTGCCAGAGCCTTTGTGTGGTTTGTTCTGCCCATAAAATGATGAGTTACAGGCTCATCTGCTGCTGAGCTCCCAGTGTGGGGTGGGTCCCTCTGTCCAGCTTTGCTCAGAGCCAGCTGGTCCAGGGCACATTTTGGGGCAGATTTTGGGGCTGTTGTCAGCAGCATGTCAGACACTGGCTTGGAGAATGTGCTGAGGCCTCAGCAAACCCACCTCTCTGTGACAGGGGCCTGGGCAGAGCAGGAGAGGGAGCCCCCTCAGCCATGGATAAACCAGCACAGGGCAGGGTTGCCAGGTCGTGGATGATCTCCAGAGCAGCCCCAGTGCTGATCTCTAGCACTGGCTGTGAGCAGATGCCAGGAAAAATCCAGAACAGGACAAGTGTGGATGGCAACTTCCTGCAGCCTTCCCCAGTCTGCAGCTCTGGGCACTGCCAGAGCATGTGGGGATCCATCTCCAAATCCCTTCTTCAAACACCCATCCAGGTTAGGGGGTGATTCCCTGCTGGAGAGCAGCAGTTTCTGTCAGCTGTGACCTGCTTGGTGCCAGCTCTTGATGGGACAGGGAGGCAAAGGGAGAATCTGGATATGGAGGGACAAAACGTTAAAAGTTTTCCCATGTACCTGCAGTGAGCACCCCTGTCCCTCACCCTGCTCCTGTCCAGCTCAAGGAAAAGCTAGCACCACAAATCCAGCCAGCACAGACACGAGTGCAGCTTGTTTGCTCAGGCTGAACCTTGACAACAACAGTGATGAGAGGAAGAACCAGCTGAGCCCATCAGCCCGTGGCAGGAACAGGCACAGCAGGACATGGCCCTGCCTCTGTTTTTGGGTGATCAGGGCAGCCTCCCCTTTCAGGAGCAAGGCTTTTATCAGAATGTTTGCAGCAGCAAACTCAACTGTGACCAGGACATTTGGGGATGTCCTGCTGTGCTCAGGCTCTCTGGAGCCCTGAGTTTCAGGGTTGTTTTTGGTGCTCCAGCAGCTGCTCTCAGGATTGCCTGACCGGAATGGCAATTTCTGGTTTGAAGGCTGCCTGTGCTGTGGCCACGAGCCCAAGGCCAGCAGAAGGTGGTGGTGGCACTGTGGCATGGCAGGTACAGCCAGGGCTGACATGGATCTGGCTCTTCCAGGGAGAGCTTTACCGCATGTGCCGCGAGAGCCTGGACTGTGATCCCAAAGTGGCAGAGATCCTCGTGGCCCACCCGGATCTCCTCGGTGACAGGTGAGATGTAGCCCCTCTGAGGCTCCCTCCTGGACATGGTGTGGGGCTGGGGAGTGAGGAGATGCCCTCTCTTGGTGTCCCTGTGGGGACCAACCCCATGGCTGGCAATGGCCTCACTGGGAGGGACAGGGAGGGACATCCCTGTCATGGCAGCCACCACTGTGGATGTCCTGGATGCTGGAGGCTGCAATGGCTCCCCTTGGTGAGGGGTCTCAGAGGGGTGGTCAGTGGGTTCTAGGTGTGCTGTCCAGATGGGGAATGAAGAGGGAGGCTGCTCTGAGGTGTTGGAGGCTGCAATGGCTCCCCTTGGTGAGGGGTCTCAGAGGGGTGGTCAGTGGATGCTGGGTGTGGTGTCCAGCTGGGAAATAAAGAGGAAGGCTGCTCTGGAGGTTTCCCAGGTGCTCCAGGCTCAGCTCAGCCATGCTCCCCCTCTCCCTGGCAGGCTCCTGGGCAGTTTCCTCAGCCTGAGCCCTGAGTACACCTTTGTGCTGGAGGATGAGGATGGCCCCTGTGGCTATGCAGCCGGAGCACTCCACGCCGAAGGCTTCCTGCAGCAGCGAGACAGCAGCTGGCTGCCAGCCATCAGGCACAAGTACCCCCCAGAGCTGGGCACAGGGGGGGCAGCTCTGGGACAGGTGAGGGGACACCTGGAGCGAAGGTAGGAGAGGTGGAGGGGGTTCCCTCATTGTGCTTGTCTCCCGCAGGATGCCCTGGAGGAAGCAGTGCTCTTCTTCCACACAGAGCCCCTGGCAGTGCCCCAGCCCGTGCTGAGGCGTTTCCCCTCCCTGGTACAGCTGGGCACGGCCCCCCGTGTGCTGGATGTGGGGGCCAGTCGCAGCCTGGCCCTCTGCCTGCTGAGTGCACTCAGGGCCAATGGTGAGCATGACCTCTGAGTGCTGCCCTTCATCCGAGTGCTGGGAGCTGTCCCCTGCCAGTGCTCCCAGGCACTGTCCCCTCCCCTTGCACTGGGGACATGCGGGGCTGTGTCTCAGGGCATCACTCTGTGACAAAGGGGCAGGGGAGAGACTGATTCCCTGTCACTGTGTCCCCAGCCCCAGTGCCCTGACTTTCACCTCCCTTCCAGGCTCACGGGGAGTGTTCTGCCAGGTCAGTGACTCCGACAGACAGCAGCTGAGCTTCTACAGCAAGCTGGGCTTTGTGGCCCTGCCGGTGGCCTGGGGCAGCTCTCCCGGCTCTCAGCTCCTGGGACGACTCCTCTGATGACAGAGCACAGGGAGGGAATGCCCCAGGCCAGGCTGAGCCCCCCATCCCACACAGCATCAGCCTGGGCAAGCAGGAGCAGAGGGGCACCTGGAGCAGGCCAGGTACACATGGGAGGGGACATGGGGGTGAGCAGGATGTCACTGGGGTGTGTGCAGGGCTGTGAGGTGCCTGGGTAGCAGAGAGCTATTTCTGCTGCTCAAGGGATTTGGTCACCTCTGTGCCACCCCAAATGTTTGCTGGGTACCCTGCAACTTTGCTGGGCATCCTCAGGCCTGCAGGAGCTCGTGAGCAGTGTTTGGGTTTGTGGTCCTGGGGCACAGCACGGTGCCTTAGTGCCACAGGAGTGTCCCTGTCATGCAGGCTGGGCTGCCCAGCTCTCTCTATGCCCTGTGGGCCTTAGACTGGGCAGCTGGTGCTGGGGCTGGCTCTCAGCACTGAGGATCTGCTTGTCTGTATGGACTGATCTGGTATGGGGTGTGGTGGGGCAGCCTCTATTTTTGTGCCTGGGGCCTGAGGGAAGCGCTGTCCTTGGCAATAAAGCGTTTGCTGGGCTCTCACCATGGCTCGTTTCTTGGGGGAAGGTGTTGGGGTGCCCGCACATCCCTGTCACACCCTCAAACACTCTCACACATCTCACACTGGCTGTTGCTGTGTCCCCTCAAACAAAGCAGCTCCCCACACATCCCAGCAGCTCCCAGCCTCCAGCTGCTGGCAGTGTGAGCTCACAGCTCCAGCCCTGCAGGGCTTTTCCTGCTTTTTTCGGGGGGTCTGGGGGCCACAGCCTGCCCAGGACAGGCAGGACGACCAAGGAAGGGGATTTGTCCGTCCACCCCACTGCAGCCTCTGGAAAAGGCACCCAGGGCGAACCATTCCTGGCTGTTTCCCTCTCTAGCCCAGTGTGAGGAGAGGGCTGGGTGGGGACGGGACGGCCAAAACCCCGGGAGCGGGAGCTCGGCTGGCGGCTCCCCGC